GAGGAGGCTCATTTCTACAGAGGAGGCTGATTTCTACGGAGGAGGCTGATTTGTACGGAGGAGGTATATTTCCACGGAGGAAGTCAATTTCTAAGCAACAGGCTTATATTTGTATGGAAAACGAGAACAATTGCACAGAGAAAGCAAGGTTTTAATCAGGAACGTGTTTGTTTTACAGTGTGCAGCGGTGGCACCAGGGGGCCACCGTACAATCCTCTCGCGGCTTCGCCACTCGCGTTTGACTGCTAAAAGATATAAAAGCAATCCCGCCAGCTACCTGGGCTAGTTCCTTTGATGCACCATGATCCGAGTGATCCTGTTTAGTAAAGAAACGCGAAATCCGTTTTGGGATCGTCGATTTTCCCCGAACACAACCTAAGAAAAGTACAAGTACCTACACAAAATGTGAAAAAGGTGTTGTTTACACATGAGTGCTTTCTTTCTTTTGAGTAGCTTACTTCCGAAAACAAAGAGAAACAATTAAGTCTGCCAAAATTAAGCTGCCCTTATTATTCTCGTGTAAACCGACCGCATGATGGAGTTCAATCATTCTCAGTTGAAAACAAAGCAAATTTGCATATTGCGAGAAAAATAATGCAGTTGTAGTCAGAACAAAGTCTAACCACCTTAATATTTACGAAGAACTCTTTTACTTCAACAGGTACGCGGGGTAATATTGTCAGGTCAACTCGATAGCCTAAATACAAATAAGCCCACCGCGCTAGCTCAGCCGCAAGCTGTAGAGACGTGTGGAGACGTGCAGAGCCGGCAGCTGATCGGACTTAATCGTGTTTCTACAAATTTATGTATCGAAAGCAATTATATTCGCTGTCTTCCTTCAGCCAACAGCTTTCGAAAAGATCTTTTTAGTCTTAAATGGGCATTAAAAATACTGCACTGCTTACGAACTGAAGTCTCGTGTTTGTTTCCAGTGTTCGCAGTTTTGACCATAAACCATCCCATCAGATCTATAAACTGTCACACAGTTGGCGATAGCTGTAGCTATAACTCCTCACAGATCTAACTACGGAGAGTCACGGATAAATGAGACACACATGTCATCAGAAATCCATGTGAACGTTGCTGGTCTATACATAAACACAAACATGGCTGTACTTTTACAGATACTGATCGTCACGTAAGTATACGTCACGGGCTCGTGACTGGGCCATCGTGGAAACACGTCACGTGTTTAGCTAAGTTTGACCGTGACGAGTTTACCAACGTCTAATGTGTAGCAAAGATATCAATGATTTCATCTATTGTTATTGAAATACCAACCAAACATCTTTTGGCTGGTGAAACAAAGAAGTCTTTTGTTTAACTTTCTGTACAGTTAAATAACAAAAGAAAAATTCTCGAGACAAACTGGATTAGGATTGCGTTACACTAACGTGAACGCTATGAGTTCTCACAACTGTCTTGGGCATCGTTCAACTATAAAAATGAACTCTTATACGGACGAAATCAATGAACTTAGTTTAACATCTGAAACTCGATCGTTCAGCTTTCGCCCACATCCAGCTGCACTTCACTCAAAGCATTAACAATTCATACGTGGGAAGATGTCAATACAGTCACTAACGTCACTGGTTCAACTTGACCTAGTTTATTTGGTCCGCGCGATAATCCTTGATTGAACTGCGAATTTTACTTCATATTTAATCGAATTCATTGATTATCATGTTCCATACTTGTGGAAACTATTTCGACCGCAGCAATGAAAATGCTGACATAACATTTGATCTGATAAAGGCTGGTTTTCACAATCGCTACGACCCACGGTCGCTCCAGAAAAACGTTGAACGATCCTTATCGCTACAAGTTTTCATACGATCGCCATTATCATTACAGAATAAAAATACGCGTGAAGACCTGGGTCAAAGAAAGACGCTCCACATACAGCCTCCGGAGAGTTCTTTCAATATGACCGCTACGATCGTTGGCTAGACTGACTGAATTAGTATGTTACTATGTATCTTAATAGCGATCGTCGCCACAAATATCGCTGTATGATCACAACGACCGCTGGAATTTTTTTTGCAGCGATCTCAGCGATTGTAGCACGTCATTGGAAGCGATCGGCGTTAATAAATTTCCCGCCTTTGTTCGTTACAGTCATGAAATGCAAATCAAGGCAAGCCGCCCACGCATCAGTGCATGAAAGAGTATGTTATTTATTGTTTACACAGTAAAATTGATCATCACAAATTTCCGAACGGCTTGGCCTACAATTGAAATCGGAAGAGTGGATCAGTACGCCGAGACATTGCCAGAGGCGAGAAATGCCGAGAAAATTAGAAATATAAAAATGAATAAAAAGTTAGCATAATACTGAGAGCTTTAAGCTCACGAGACTGTCGTCGTAGATAATTGTAATACTAAAGTAAACATGTCATAGCACGAGAAACAGTTCAACCGAAGGTCGGTGGAATCAGTTCAAATTGAAAACGTTTCCTGTGATCAAGTGAAATTATTTACCCCATGAAATAAACGCCTGACTTTGCATTGAAATTTTCGCTGTTAGGGTTAACCCTCTGTTTAATTTCTCTTTTCTACGTTTGAAGCAAATAGATTTTAATCCTTCTAACTCTAAAAACATGGTGTATGGTGTGAACAGAAAATAATTTTGCTGGTAAAAAATTCACCGTAAAAGCTTCCAGTAATAGTACGGGCGAAAATGGTCTTCCGGTCTGATCTTACTCCTCGAAAGTAAAATTACACACAAACAAGACAACAACGGATTTCGGCCGATTCCTGCTCTGCCAAAGCCGTGGTGGTCACCTGCGCCGAAGCGAGCCACCTGTCATGTCTATATCAGTTTCGAATATATTAATAAATTACCTGCATAAAAGCGCGCTAAAAGAAGCGAGGACCGGTAGTTATATCAAAGACACGTTACTGTCGAAAACGAACCGGCGAACTAAAAATGGATACGAGCAGTGCTGGCAGTGAACAAGAGGATGCGGCTAATAGATGTCGCTGGTTTCGCGTTAACTGGAAATGGTGCAAAATGGGAAGTTCCAATCTTGGAATCAACATTCGTCTAAATCCAGTTGTGTCCTTCGTCTCAGCTTTGATTATCTGGGGCTTTGTCGTGTGGTGTATGACCGAGCCAGAAGCAGCGAATAAAAAAATGGGAGAGTGGAAAACCTGGATCACCCAAACCTTTACCTGGATGTACATCGGCACCCAAGACGCCTGGGCTGTGTTTATTATCGTCCTGTACTTCTCCAAATACGGCAACATGAAACTGGGAAAACCGGATGAAAAACCTGAATTCAAAGACGCGTCGTACTTCACCATGCTGTTTGCCGCTGGCATAGGGATCGGCCTATTCTACTTCGGAGTTGGTATGTTGAACTATACAGTCATTCCTATCCATTCAGACAGAAAATAAGTCCTCTAGTATTTTAGCAGCCAAAATCAAATCGGGCGAAACCGGTGGGTGAATAATTACATACTATAATTTCTTCGCCACTAAACGCGAGAACGGCCGAAAAAAATTCTCACCAATATTTTTGAAAAAACGTTGTGAATATAAAAAGTATTCAACAAGTTAAATAATGTTTTTGACTTTTTTTGAAGATTTATAGATATTTTTTTATATAAAATTTCGTTTTTTGCTAGACACATGCCCAGTAAAACTACTAGCAAGTAAAAGTACTTTCTCCCGGTGATACTTAACCTCCCACATGCTAAAGTGAAATTACTATGACTGGCGTCACGCATAACTGCCCGCCCCTCAAGCGTCATATTTGCACCATTCATGATATTTATTGTGAATAGACGTCAATGGAAACCGCGCTTTTTATGCAAATATACAGCTGAATAAAAAAGCGTTCAGTGATCTTACTATCAACCACGTGGAAATACTTATTTCATTTTCTGTGGGGATTAAAATATAATGGAATTAGGCAAAATACTAAAATAAGTTTTAATGTTACCTTCAGAACAGCATCTTGCACTTTCATAAATTGCTTAACTGTCGAATTCTTATCAAAAGACGAATTCGCCAAAGAGAGAATTTCGCCTCTCAAAGTGGACTTTGATCACATCATATTGAATGCATTGTTGAAAAGAAGTACTTCTTGAAATTTCAGTTTTGAAATTCCCCTCCTGCACGACAAAAACGCCGACAGCATAGCATTTCTTCAGTGGTTCACGAGTGGTGTAAAATTTTAAACGAGCGCAGAGTCCTCGTGGGAACCATGTGATATAGTATAAATAATAAATAATTAGGCCGTCGAACTTGTTACCAAGCGGATGGCCTCGCTTGATCACAGAGTCAGAAACCAGACCAACTGTCAGGTGCAAGGGAACTTTAGTTTTGTTTCGCCACAGGCTTCCCAAGCTGATCGCGTGACAGTGGGTACACGACGTTGCCAAACAGCGTTAAAACTCATGTAAAAAAGCTTCTATGGAAATGCGCCTAGAATAACNTTGTTTCGCCACAGGCTTCCCAAGCTGATCGCGTGACAGTGGGTACACGACGTTGCCAAACAGCGTTAAAACTCATGTAAAAAAGCTTCTATGGAAATGCGCCTAGAATAACCCCTAGAATAACGGAAGGGAAAACCCTTCCTTCCTTAGGGTATTGGTTGCGTTGCTTTGGAACGTTATGCCGTTTTCGGAATACTTCAGCGAGTTATAGTCATATTTATAATTTTTTCTAAACATATCCCTACATTTCATCGTTTGGCTAAATACAATCCCTTCGAGCACTGGGTTGACAAGTAATTTGAGCCGGACGAACGATCTTACATTCCCTTACAACATTCCCATACAAACTCTCGTACATGTATTTTTTTGCTATCACGCTGTAGGGGTGATCAAGCAAGGAGCTTGAAAGACCTGTGCTTTCAGTCGTTGCCACGTGTGTTTCACTTTCGACTGACTTCGCAGTAATATCAAAGTGCAAAGTCCTCAATATTCAAGATTGAGTGCTAATTTTACTTTCAAATGAAAACAAAACAAAAAACAAAAAAAAACAGAACAATTTGGGAGAGGCCAATGGTGGCTTAAAAAATTCCCAGAATTTGTAATCAACTTGATTACGGTCAAACGGTCAATATCACTTTCTAGCTCGTAATTGCCAGATATGTGATCGCGCAAGCAGATAAGAAACATGTCGCCAGGCAACGAGGAGAAAATAAGCCTAAAGTTCAGTCGATACAAAAGAGTTTTAGAAAATTGGGATTAAATATTTACTTATTCTGTCACCTTGTATGAAAGCCCACTTTTCTGAACTCTGCATAATACCTCTCACGGTAACTGCATTTTTGCGCGCTTGTGTGAAATAGCATTCATTTATCTAATATTCGAAAAGAATTAGTATTCATCATCTACTGAAAATCACTTTCAATATTTCAAAAATGTTCGAATACCACTTATTCACTTTCCCTCCGGCGACGCTTTTAATATTTTTAATGAAACAGTCTTCAGGATATCAGGCGTTCCATCGCACAACTGAGTGATATTTCATTTACTCTCTTACAATATTTACCAAGAGAATTTAGATTTACACATTAATGGCGCCTACTCTGACACTCAAGCGCAACATTTCAATTCTCCTTTCATATCTTCTAGATACCATTTAGAAGATTTAAAAATTACTCAAAAATCGCGAAATTTAAGCGAGAAAAAGGACAATTTTCCTGCACAAGTTTGCGTCGTTACCAAAACAAGTGTTCGTGCGAAAACGTGTTTCACCCGCGGGTTAATTTTCATGCAAATTAACATTTCCACGTGAAAAGTTTTCCGTGGAACTCGTTTTGAAACAGAGGCTGTATACAGCGGTATGGTCGCAGTCTACGCGGTGTGGGTAGTGATATAAATACAACTCTTTTCAATCATTGATCAGAGTGCGGATAACGGCTCGATACCAATTTTTTAAAGCATAGTCAATCTAAGGTAGATATTGTTTTGTGAAAATTCCCAATATTTAATGTTTGCTTTATTTTACTAACCAGGTGTGTCTCTTGTATTTTGCAGCTGAACCGGTCTGGCATTACGCGCCTGGTCATTATGGAAACCGTTATTATGACAGGTAAGTTGAGTTTATTCACGTAGAGTACATTGCTTTATGAATGTCAGTGGCGGCATTATTTTATGTCTTTAAAGAAAGAAAGAAAGAATGGAAGAATAAATGAATGAATGAATGAATGAATGAATGAATGACATTATTTCGTGAGTTACCGGATAATCATCAGTGAATGTTTCATTAGCGTCATTCAAGTGGGATCGACAATAGACGTATGAAAGTGTTAATTAAAAGAAATTTCCTGGTACTCAACTCTTGCGCATACTCTCCTGTCTACAGGTACAATGACAATCAACGGGCCCAGGACTCCATGAACCTAACTTTGTTTCACTGGGGTATTCACGGATGGATCGTGTATGTTGTGGTGGGTCTTCTGTTGGCCTTTGTAGGTTACAGGCAAGGACTTCCCATGACAATGCGCTCCTGTATGTATCCCCTCATCGGCGACAAGATTTATGGATGGATGGGAGATGCTATCGACATCCTTTCCGTTGTGTGCACCATGTTTGGCGTTTGCACGAGCTTAGGACTGGGCGTAATGCAACTAAACGCTGGTGTTCACCGCTTAAGAAGCTCCATTGAGGTCAGCACCTTAAACCAGATCATCATCATCTGGTGCGTCACGGCCTGCGCTACAGCCTCCGTTATCAGCGGACTGAAGATGGGCATCCGACGGTTGAGCGAAATCTGTTTCATCTTGGGCGTATTTGTCATGATGCTGGTGTTCTTCCTTGATGAACCCTGGTTCACGCTGAACTTGCTTGTCCAGAGCACCGGTTATTACATGCAGACAATAATTCAGCTTGGCTTCCACACGGACGCTTTTGCTCAGCTAGGAAATGCCCCGGACGGAAAGGAGGCCGCGCAATGGATGGATGGTTGGACCATATTTTACTGGGGCTGGTGGATCGCCTGGTCGCCTTTCGTCGGCATGTTCATTGCCAAGATATCTAGAGGCAGAACCATCAGACAGTTCATCAACGCCACACTCACGGCACCGGTCGCTTTTTCAATCTTCTGGTTCAGTGTCTTCGGAGGCGCAGGCCTAAAGATGGAACGAAATGCAGTACTTGCAAACATAACTTGCACTTCACCGATCGGCGGAAAAACTGCAACCGAGTCTCTTAATGGTTTGTTTCGTTTATCCTGTCGTGGCAAGAACGATATGTGGTTCGACGTGATGCAACAATATGGAGACATAGGAACTTTCCTTTCAATCCTTTCCCTGATCGGAATCGTCCTTTACTTTGTCACCAGTTCTGACAGTGGTTCCCTTGTGATAGACTGTCTTTCGGCCAATGGCGACCCCAAACCTCCCGTCCTCCAGCGTATCTTCTGGGCTCTGACTGAAGGTGCAACAGCAACTGCTCTTCTTTATGTTGGAGGTGATAAAGCACTTAATGCCCTGCAAACAGTTTCCATTGCGTCTGGGGTTCCCTACACCATCCTGCTCTGTTTCATGTGCGTGGCGTTGTGGAGGGCGGTAAAGGTAGAAGCTGGAGACCTTGATCCCAATGGTCCACAGTTCACCACTGGCCTTTTGGATGTTCTCAGTACTCCAACTACCGAGAGCGTGATCAAAGTTTTCCTGAACATCTTTGCACCCTGGTACTCCATGTCAGTTGCAGCTGCGGAAATGGAAAGGCCGAAAGGTAGAAAGTGGACGAAGATGCTGATCCTTGCGATACCGTTCTACACTTGGATCGCACTTCTGGCTTTGGAATCCTTTGACATCGCTTCCGGGATATGTTACGTCGGATGGACGGTGCTGTTTGGATTCTTCGCCTATGGTGCGGGGATACGCATCTCGATACGAGAGAGATACGACATCCACGGAAACATGATAGAAGATTTCTTTGCAGTGATGATCCTCTACCCATTTGCTGCCTACCAGATGGAACACCACATGAAAAACTATCGAGGACGAGACAACGAAGACCATCTTGTCCAGAATGGACACTGTGGATCATACGATAAATCGGAGTCGTGTTGTGTTCCTCTTGAGGAGATAGAAAAGTTAGTTGATCCAGACCAGAGACACACAAACGTTTAACGCCTTGAGCAAACATTATTTATGAGACTGAAAGTTAAAAATTAGTGAGAACTGTAATCTTTTTAATTTGATTATTTTTCATAAAGAATATTTGCGTTTCTAAGGATTAATATAAAGAAACGGTTAAGGTATTGCCGGAGAAGCATTGCAAAGCAATTGTTAGTTCAAGGTATAATTTTGTTAGCAGCTTCTCGAATTAGGTGTAAATATTTTAATTCTTTCAAAGTTACTTTTTTAAGGCTAAAAAAACCTGTTAGTTTGATAGGTATGTATAGCAGATGTGTTAAGATGTAAAATGTAAAAAGAGACTCTCAAGGGAGGCTATTTATGACAAAGATCGCTGTTGATCCATTTAAGTAACTAGGTAACTAAATTAATTAACTAAAAATTAAAAATTTTATTGTAAAGCAAGAGTGTTGATGATTTTAATTGTCCTGTTACAAAAACATAATAGAAGTACCTGTCATGTTTGGAACTTCAGCATCTTTTTAAGAAGTCTACCGGCTCTATTGTATCACGTGAAAAATAAAGAAGGCCTCTGGGGCTTATATAGCATTAATTAGACTAGTTCGCTCATCTTCTATTAAGATATCTGGCGCCAAATTATATCCAATTTGCAGCAAAAAATATATCTATTTGGATATTTGCCCATATACATCAGGGATGAACAGTTTTACGAAAGCGAAGATTTTGGATTGGAGTGTGAACTTTCAGGAACAGGGTATAGTGTCCAAGAATATTATCCTTGCATAAAAAAGTGAAATAGAGATTATTGTGCAGTCTTCAAATATCTTCGAATTCACACAACGCCTCAATTTTTGAAATCTTTGTTTATCTTTGAGATTTTGAAATAGTTTAGTTGGCGTACAACGGTATTCGATGGTATATTTGTATGGAATACACTCCTGGCAACATTATTTGTTCCGTGAAGCTCAAACCTTTTCAGCAAATATCAATTAGCCCATTGTTTACGCCCTCTGACGTATACGGGATATAGTTTCTTTCGCATTCTCCGTAGCGCCCCACGCAGACGTTCTTAGGCTTGTCACGCGTGACAAGCCTAAGGACGTCTGCGTGGGAGGGTCTCATTCTCCGCTCCCTTCCTTGAATGCTCCCTCCCTTGATTGATACTACTGAGCACATGATGGAATTTAAAGGGATAGTTTCTCGGTTCGGCGCATGTGCAAGCTATGGTGTAGTCTACCCAATGGACCTTTTGGGCGATACGGTGGCCATATCCATATCCACGCTATCCGCTGGATAGCAAAGATATCAGCCGAATGTCACCTATATTGTTATTAATATGCCGACCAGAAAGTTATTGGCTGGTGAAACAAAGAATTCTTTCGTTTAACGTTTTGAACATTTAAATAACAAAAACAGTGTTTGTAAACAAATGTCTCAGTTCCCTATGGTAATTTATCCGGTTGATAGCATCCGCCCTTTAAACAACCTGGCCTGGGTTGTTCGAAAGATGGATAACGCTATCCACTGCAGAAATCACGATCCAGCGTGGTTTGTATGTACAGCCTGTATAGCGTGGTTTGTTTTGTTACCACTTATCCGCTGGATAGCGATTTATCCGGTGGATAGCGTTATCCAGCCTTCGAACAACTGGGGCCTGGCCAATAATGACTCTGTTGACATCTTCCGTCAATTTTGGGCATCAGACATTCTGCTAGCCTTTGTGTAGCCGTATGGCTGTACAAAGCTACAAAGGCTATCATTCTGCTTTCACGAAATTATAGTCTGTGATGACCGAAATACATGGTGGTTGAGAAGAAAACGAAAATGTATATAATGCACGGACTCGGAACCCGCTAAAGGAATGCTAATGAGAAGCACACCTATATCGCCACGTTTTCGCCACTGACCGATAAATTTGCAAAGGCAAATTTCCCGCAAGAGTTATCAGCACGCCTCTGATTGTTTTATAAATAATGGAATTAAATCATTAACGTAGTAGTTTGCACACGCGCCGAGCGGTGAAACCCACCCTTTAACACCGCAGGTTACTGTTCCACTGCCTCTAGCTTGGGCAAAATTGTAACACCACATGAGTGCAGCAATAGGCGAAACGCATACAAAAGCCAACAGTTTAAATTCTATTTTCAAAAGATTTGCTAGGTCATTGTTGACAGGCAAAAATATCAAACTGCGATATGTCGGTTTCAAGCAAGATTTGAACGCTACTCAAAAAAAAAAAAAAATGTAGAAGTGAGACGGAATTTTGACTGAATCTTACTGCACCTTCCAGGCTCACAGAATTAGTAAGAGGCCTTGTGTACAGAAAATTTGCGTTAACTAGACCGAGTATCAATCTCCAAATCAGTGCCTTATGACAGTATGATTTCATGTCGATTTAACGCTTTTTATCACTTCAAAGACACTGAAACTTCAAATAAAATGTGAGGAGAAAAAAAAAAACATTACAGAAAATTTCAGCCCAGTAACCACAAGGCAGATCGAGAGCTGTCTTATGGAGATCTAAAAATTTGAAATTAATTCTACTGTGCAAGGATTTGAAGGAAAAGACGAAATCGTATATCGGAAAGCCGGAATCCTTCCTAATTTCAAACATTAACGATTCCCCATTTTCAGATACCAGCCTAAAAGTACGTGCTGTACACTCTTTATTCCCGATAGGTTTATTGCTTTCATGTCAAAGAGAAGTTGGTCATGTGACCAGTTGATACAAAAGGGACATTCAATATTTCAATACTATAGGGTAAATTTTAATTATTCTATTTATTATATTATACTTTATTAGTTAATTGTAGGCCCATATCAGCCCCTTTGGCTGTCAACTTTGTAACCTGCATTACTAAATGAAACGATGATGATAATTATGGTAATGATGATGATGTTGATGATGATGATGATGATGATGA